ATCTTCCTCATTTTCTAATTTATTCTTGGTTACTGAACGCTACTCTCTTGATTTCATCAGAAAATTGAGGCGGAGCAGCTTCAGTTGAAGAGGTAGGCCAATGTGTATCCATTTCCCCTCTTCCTCTTTCAAATATCTTCCTCATTTTCTAATTTATTCTTGGTTACTGAACGCTACTCTCTTGATTTCATCAGAAAATTGAGGCGGAGCAGCTTCAGTTGAAGAGGTAGGCCAATGTGTATCCATTTCCCCTCTTCCTCTGTCAAATCTGTGTATGTTTGGGGGTCTACGGTTCGTTTGATTCCTTATAGTCGCAGATCTGGTACTTGGGTTGCGAATTTTCTACCTATTTTTATTTTGATTGTGTTGCATTTTGTCTGATCTTCAATTGCTTCATCGTGAAACGGGAGATCCAGAGGTTTTCTTTCTTTTTTTTGCCCTTTTGGATTGGATGGACTCTTTATTTATAGTAAGATGATCAATGCAAGAGGAAATTAAAGGGTAGTACAGAGAGTTGCACAAGAGAATGAAGAAAGCCAAAATAGACAGCCGCGGTTTAATGCACTCTGATTGCGGTTGCCAATCCGATCATCCTGTCTAGTTAGAAAAAATCCATTTGATAGATGGTCCAAAATAGAGAGTTGAATAAACTCCACTTTATACTTTTGAATAGAAGCCACTACGGAATCTGTCTCTGTTTTAGATGCAAGAACTGTGAAAGTCGGTCTTCAAACTGGGCAGATGCCGAAGGCCAAAGAGTGTGTATTTTGGTGGTTGCTCGCAAAAGGAGAATGGTGTTATTAGTATAATTGATCGACGAGATGCTTAGGCTAAAGGATGTAGTCTCTACCTTTAGGACCAGGCCGACTTTCACATCGTAGTGAGGATTTTTTTATGCCAAGTAACATAAAGGGTTTCAATTACAAAGCAAAACCTACAAAATCAAACCAACAAGAAGCTAACAAAATCAACCATTCTATTTACAGAGCAACTCCAATAATGGAGATTACGACTCATCATCAGCCAGGGATCTACTTCTACTATAAGCAATAAACTAAACTCTGTAACTATTAGATACAGAAGGCAACTATACCTACATTACATCTTAATAAAGAAACTACTCTTACAAGCTTTGCTTAAAGAAGATGATGAAGAGATTGAACCCCACCATTAACAGAACTGAAAACCTAAATGATGAAATACCTAAACACAAAATAGGAAAATAGAAAATAAGGGCTACGTTATTCTTTCATCCTAAAAACCATAGCCTCTCAAAAAGATGCTTTATAGAGGTTCCGAAACAGGTCAGATTTGCTGCAGATTGGGTTGTGAACAGGGTCAAGCGTGTAAGAATTTTTGTTAAGCATCGATGACAAGGATGGATTAATGAGAAGACAGAGGGTCTGCTTGCTGAATTTGTTGATGGGAAGGAATTTGTGCACCTGCAATGCCTTTAAGAATAGTGGAAGTAGTGGGAGCACTGGGAGGAATGCAAATGAGACTTGATTTAATTCACCCATTAAAGTTCAAATCCTTTAGCAAGTAGGAAGTCAATGAGGAATTCTTCTATTACCGAATAAAAAAAATCTTTTTTGAGTTCAACTTTTGGAAGATAGAATTCACGAGAACTCTATCGAAAACGACGACCATCTCTTGTGCACTAGCCACACAATCAAATGTGTTCGTCTTTTTGTAGTGCATATTGTAGATTGTCGACAAACGTTAGAACATTAAGCCAAAGAAAAAGGGTGAGGAATATTATAATGATCTTGAAGGAGCTATTAAGAAGACTAGATGGTCAGAAATCTCAACATCTGAGTCTCTGTAAGTGATAGAGTGGTTGTCTTCTCAAATCTGCATTGCAGTGAAAATAAATCATTAAATAAAGCCACAAGCTTAATTTGATAGTCACCAGAAAATTTTATGGGACGTTATTGACAACCGCTTTGAACATAGAGCTTTTTCCATTGCTAGAATACAGTCTGACTTTGATCTCCACTGTGCAAATGGGGTTCAAAACATGCATCTCTCATCTCAATCTTGATAAAATGCTTTCCATTTCACTTACAGATGAAGAGTATCATCTATTTACGAATAGGGAGAAGTGGCAAACAATAACATACACAAAATGCCTTTACTGGAGGCTACACTTCAACATTATGCTCAATGAAGAAAATATGGTTCGAACTCTTTCTAGAGCTTTCCATGGAGTGAAATAACTTTGTATTGTGATCTCCTACACACGACCAAGAGACCTTAGGCAATTGCTTCCACTTTAATTCTTCCAACCATTGCCAGTCTAATTCATCGACACGACTTACTCTTTATTGCATATCAAGTTTCACGAGATGTCTAGTTTCTTTTGTTGATTCAAGAAGATGTATCATGCTAAAGAAGAGATTTTTTGGACCACTTAGTGCGTTATGTTATTAAAGTTTCCAGATCTCCAGTTCTTGAGAAAACTTCTCATGGATCAAAGCTTGAAAATTAGGGTGCTACCAACTTCTCATGGATCAAAGCTTGAAAATTAGGGTGCTACCACACCAGTAATAGGGGCCAGTGTTTCTAGTGGGCAATGACCATGGGTGGAGACACAGTATCAAGAGCTATGCTTATGTAGTTCAATATTTTCTTTGGTAAAGTGTTGGCAGAAGGAAGTAGATACATGCATCTTCTTGACAATCCAACTTGGAAAGATTAGATATTCACACTTATTGGACCAAGTAAATGAGCAACCTCCAAGAAATAGGTTGATGGCGTCAATATCTTTGATTATGTTAAATTCATTCACTATGTCTTCTTCCTTTTGGTTCTCTGCTGTATCGAGTGACATGGAAGGGATCTACTCTGAGCAAAGAGACACTGTTGAGCAAAGATTTACTTTATAAGTTTCCATTGTTCACTAAAGGACCTTCTCTGAGCAGGAGAGCTGAATATTGCTAGTGAGCATAAAGAAATAATATCTAAGACTAGATATGACAATTTATGCAATTGGAGATCTGGAACATCATATAAACATTAGCCTCATAACATTACAAGATTTTACAAGGTTACAATTAGCACATCCATGTTCATGCCAGTTGGAAGGTCCATGTTGGTACCGACACTGCCTATTCAGAGGCTCATTGATGTATAGTGATAGTTCCGTGCATCTTCAGATCTTCTGAAAAACAGCACTTGTCGAAAATAGTAGTAAATTGGACACTTGATTTTTTGTCTTGTAGAGGAAAGCAAGAATCTCATGAAGGATGTTAACTTTTATATGAGTTTGACTTTTAGAGGACTGGACTTGCAAGTGCTTTAAAGATAAACATATTTATAAGGTTTTATCTCTTTAATAATTTAAACTATGTGGACCGCTTTCGATGTTTACTTCTTTATGCTCGCTTCAATACAGTTTATGATTGAAGTATTGCACCTAGAGCACACTATATGCCATGATACGCACTTCTGACAGTCAATAGTCCAAATAATGTAGGAAATTATGCATGATGATTGGGATATACATACCTGTTAGCAATATTTGCAACTGCAATACTCAAGGTTTTAAATATCGGTTATCGGGGATTTATCGGACGGCCAAAATCCTTATCGGATAGCGGAAATCGGGGATATATCGGGGATAAGTAGTATTTATCGGAGTGATATACTGGATGATGTGTATATATAATATAACAATTAAAAAATATAATCTAATCATGCTTAATGAAATATAAACATACCAAAATGTAAATCATCATGTTTAGAATCACTAACAAATTGTAGAAAGCAAAACTTGCATCATAGCCTTGAAAAAATATAATGTTAGTCAAAATGGGCCGATAATCCCGATAATAACGATAAAAAAGTCTTACTTATTGGCCGATAAGTGCCGATAACGCCGATAAACCTACAAAAACGATAACCGATTAAAAATCCAATTTATCCTAGCAGAGAGCTCCCAAATCCGATAACTCGGCCGATAATATCGATTATCGGCCGATATTTAAAACAGTGGCAATACTGACCTAAGCCCTTTTTTTGTTACTTTGTAGAAATGCAATATCCATATTTTGAGCTTAGTTTTCTGGCGTGTCTAAGGAAATTGATGAATTTGTGGAGGAAACTTGTTGGTTCTTACTTCCAGAAGTCAGTCCGAAGTGTCTTGTATTCCAGGTCATACATAGATACACTAAAATGAATTGTATATAATGTGAAAAGGAGTGTGTGTTCTCAATTTCACAACCCCCCTCTAGTAAATACACCGTAATGATATACATGCATATGTTAAGTAGTGTATGGCATGGATAGATGGATGCATACATTTATATAGGCTAGGATGTGACAATGTTAGATACACGAAAGCAAATGTTCATTCAACGTATGCATTGTTCTTTATTAGCTATTACTTTATATGATATGATATGTCCAAGCATTTTATCAGTGTAGAGAAATAGAGAAAGGCAAAGATATTAGTAGGATATTATAAAATAAGTATGAGATAAAATCATATTCAGTCTTATCTCCCAATATCTCAACAATATCTCATAATATATTCCTTAGCAATCAGAAAGTATGATTGTGATTGACCAGAAGTGTTCCAGGCATGAGATCATTCGGTTTGTAATATCAATATCCTTGTCTACAATTATTCTATGCAGATAGTTGATGGCAGTGAATAACAGAGAATAGACATTGTTAAGTTATGAACTGCTTCCTATTTACTTAAGGTGGCATGACCTTATAAGATTAGACATGCTTATTCAGTATCTGCCTTTGTTATCTTTCTCATATAAGAAGCACTTGGGCAAAGGATGTCTAATGTTTCATTCATTTTACTTTAGGTTCCTGTTTCATCTTCTAGCATGAATTTCAATTGATATGTATTGTGTATCAGAGGATCACTTTTCCCTTTAGTATGATGTATGAGTATGCCAATATATTTCATCAGGCCAATATATTTCTACAAATTGCTGAAGCTGGTTCATAAGTTGTCTTGGGTTCCTTACTTTTGATTCTTCTCATATGTTCCACCAGCCTAATAACACTGGAATTTTTTAGTTTTATTTTTACTTTTTTTATTTTTTATTTTTTTGGCATCTAAGATTGGTACTGAAAATTACCAACTTAAACTTCGCAATTAACTCAGGTATATCCAACAAAACTATACAAAAATTCGTGAAGTCGAAAGAGAACTTGAGAATCTTAATTTAGAATTGAAACTTACAGCTGGGCCAAAGAAAGCAGGTCAGTTTGAACTCTATTTAGCTGCATTTGTAGACACTTTACTGACTAATGTGTGGAAAACTTATATGTGCTTTTATGTGTTTTAAGCACTTGAGCACTTGCGAAAGAAGATTGAGTTGTCAACTGAGAGAATACGTGTGGCTAAGCTGAAGGAAGATCAAGCAAAAAAGGTTTGATTTGCCATGTCCTTGATCTGCATGATTCATTTAATTAACTGTTCAATCCCTCATTATTTGTTTGGTGTTGAATGTCAATCTGTACTTCTTCCTCCATCTATTTTGCATAATGAATTTCCAAATACATGTGGAGCCTAACCCACTACTCTAGATATATGGTTTAAGATAATATCTTGTTGAGTATCGTATTATGTGAAAAGTAAACGCTAGAGGCCAGATGCTTGGTGAGGATCTTTAAATCAGAGCTGCATAAACATATATGTAAGTTGTGCCTTCAGCCCAATAATATGGAGGGAGGGAGATAGTATGATTAGTCTATAATGTGATAATATCTAACCTCGTGAATCAACTTATTCTCAGCAAATGAAATAGGAAAGGTTGCATTTGGTATGGGGTGGAGATTGCTGGCAGGTTGTAGTTGAGGTCGAGCTGGTTCATTTCCAAGCTTATATGAATTGAGCTCTATGGAAGAAATTCCATCTTAGGCATCATTATTTGCAGACCACAATATACCTGAATAACGAACAGAATATCACCAACTATTAAAAATCTAACTAAAGTCATTTTTAATATAAAAGAAATCAACCTGGAAGAAATAATAGCTAGTAAACTAGGCGCTAAGTGGTGGTTTCATATATATATATATATATCATAATATATATATCTATATATATATATATATATATATATATATATATATATATATAGACGAGATGGAGGGGACGGTGAGAGAGTAAGAGAGAGAGAAACCTTATGTCAACTTAAGTGCGACGTCCACTAAGTTTCTTAGTCATTGATGACTTGATTGCAGCTACATTGTAGACTGCATGCTGCTCCGCTTAAACCTTGATCTACAATATTCTACAAACCCAACACACCACAAGCTGCGCGTTGAACCCGTCATGGTTTGACCCCCATCGAGCATGTAAAAACGTTCTATTCATTCGAAAACAATTAAAATTGATGACGAGTGGATGAAGCGACAAACCACGACGCGTTCAACCCCAGATTTGGCTGGTTTGGGGTTTTAAATATGTAGATCAAGTTCAACCGAGCGGCATCAATCCACAATGTAGCTCAATCAATGGATCTTTTAATCAATAACTAATGAAACTTAACGGGACGCTCCACTTAGTTGCACATAAGTTTTCTCTCTCCCTCTCTCTCTATATATATATATATATATATAATATTATCCTTAACAAGGAGTGAGATTTCTCCTTATGTTGAACAATGATGTGCCACAATACGACCCCACCATGTGAAATATCTTAAATTCTTGCGCACAATCCCCACCATGTGAAGGAGAGAGGAATAAAGTTAGGAGAGAGAATTCACATGGTAGCGATGTACCACATCATTGTCAAGGAGGAATCCCCCTCACATTGTACAAGGATACCCATTAAATCTCTTTCTTCTCTCTCTCCCTCTCTCTCTCTCTCTCCTCTATATATATATATTATATATATATAGATATATATATATAGAGAGAGAGAGAGAGAGAGCAGTTAAGCGCTAGAGGCCATTCCTAATCGCCGGCCCTAGCAATTTCTCAGAAACAATTAGAACCTTATGAAAAAGGGTTAAGTTTGTGATGTAATCATAGCGTATCTCCATTCCCTTTGCAATTAAATGGACCTTATGTCTCTCTGGGGATCCATCAAATGATATTTGATTGACGTACTCAAATCCTCTTACTATTATTTTGTCCACATGAGTTACAGGAGCAACATGCCAAGTGAGTAGTTAACAGAGATCGAAGTAGCAAGCTGAGAGTGGAAGTGACAGCTATAGGAGATGCTTAGAACATGAAAGCAGTCATCATAAGTTCATAACTAACATCCAGTTAGTCGACTGTCACATGTAAGTAGATGGTAATATTATGGTATTCAGGAAGAAGTTGCCCAAAATTGAGATTACGCTGGTGATGTTAGTGCATTGACAAGTTGTAGTCACTTGATAGTTACCAATAAATTGAATGTATAATTTAACGCTCAAGCAATACCAACCTACCTACTGTATCATTGGGTTGTTGTGTTTGCAGAGATGTGAGCACTTTCTCAGTTGGGTGTTCTGACCCTTCTCGGCACTGTGCTAATAATGTGCAAAGCCTAGCTTACCACCCTGATTTGGGATCACAATCTTCTTTGATTACATTTACAACAAGCAAAGTTCCATTTAGTCTCATCTATTTTTTCACATCCTGACATGCTATCCATTCATCTCACATTCTGATGGAATTTTGGTAAATCTATATTCAGCTCTCTAGATTTCCCATTAAATTTTAAGCAAATGAGTTCCATACAAGTCATGCCCTACAAGAGTTAGTTACGTGAAAGGTTAATGGCAGCTTGGATAACCTTCGCCAATCAGCATCTTCCTTTCTTTCATAACCTCCTCCAATCAGATTTATTGATGCTCATGTCCAATGTTACATTAAACGCTGGACGCTTCTAGACGTCGGACTTGGTGCCCAGCGCTTAGTCGCCTAAGCGATTTCTGGGCGTTTTTTTATTTTTTATTTTTTTAATTGTGATACTTGAAGATAAATATATATATACTCAATCAAAGATGCATAAATACTAAAATACCAACATTATTAACTAAATTGCTTGGTTTACCAATTACAATAGCTCTTTGTATGTTTATACTTCTCAACTCAAATTATAAGTTCATCTCAATAGTGAAAAACTCATTCTCAACTCAAATTACTGTTAACTTATAAGTTACTGTTAAGTTTAAGTTAACAATAAACTTAAACTTAAGTTTACTGTTAACTAAAATATTGTTAACTTAAGTTTACTGTTTACTTAAACTTAAGTTTACCATTAACAAAATACTTAATATTAACTTAAACTTAAACTTAAGTTTACTATTAGCTTAAACTTAAGTTTAACTTAAACTTAAGTTTACTGTTAACTTACACTATTTTATTTTGTGAATTATTGGCATAACTTTTGCACTATTTTATTTTTATTAATTTGCTAATATTACATTTTACTTGGACTATTTCCACCTAAATATTATTATGTTAATAAATAGTTTTTGTATATAACTTAATCATCTTCATGGATCATTAGTAATAACTTATCATCTTCATCTTTCCTTTTTCAGTTTTTCCTCAAAGACATTTTTCACTAGGAATTAGGGGAAGCCAACTGGTGTTTAGAAGTATAGCAAACCCCTCACTTGTGCATATTTTCTTCTAACAGGAATTTGGCACTAATTAACAATCTTGTGCACATTTTCTTCATTTAACTATGTCAAACATTTCATTTGAGCCTTGCTCCATGGCCCAGGACATTGTGATGGGATAAGCTTGGATAAGTATGCTGATAATAATAACGACGATGATGATGTTATTATAGGTTTGGGAAGCAGCAGCTCAAGTTGTGAAAGATGAAGAGGCAGTGAAGCAGAAGATTTGTGATGATCTAAATCAGCTGGTATGCAGTTTGTCTTTTGCTTTCCTGTCTATCAGGATAAAGTACTAAGAAATCTATATTCCTGTTTTATTTTTTTTTTATTTTTATTTTTTTGATAGGTGCAAGAAAGCACCAATACACAGCTTACCAGACTTGAGGAGCTTAAAAGGCGACTTGAGTCTCTCAATCCTAGCAGGGTGTCAAGTGATGTTTCTGTAAGTAACACTTTTTCCCTATTCCCTTTTCTCAACTTCGTATTGTTTGGTTAAATGCTTTTATGCAAGTGATGCATGTATCTTGCTAAATATATTTATCCAATCAATTCATTAGTTCTTATTTATTGGCTTGCTATTCATTTAATTACGTTTTGGCCTTCTTCATCCGTTATTTGGTTTACCAATTGGCTACCAGTGGATGCTTGGAACTTTTAAGGGCACAGTATAGTCTGTCACATTGAATTTGTGTAACGACTTACGCATATAGTAGACCCATTCATAAATGAACCACCAGTTAGATAAACTTGAATTCTTATTTTTTGTGTATAATTCTAATCATGTATAGTATGGCCTATCTATCGAATTTATCAAATTACTACAATCTGAAAGTAATTTTCAATCAGAGTATTTATTATTTACTTGTTCATAATTATACAACCAATGGATCTTTTTGAGGCAATATTTTGTGGAACAAACAATCCTACACTTGGATTTATATTTTTCTATCTTCACATCCCTAATTACGTGCACCTCATGGCATTATAAAACTACTATTTGAAGCCCATTTTTTCCCATCAGTTTAGGCTCCCTTTAGACTTTATATCAGGTACTATTTGGTCATCGGATGCAAAATCATGTCCTGTCCATTATTGTCTCTAAGTTACCTCTGTCCAGTTAATGGTTTCTATGGAAGTATGACTATAGGCACAAAGATCATAGAACTCATGTATCTTTTCTTGTATTAGGATGGGAAATCCCTGCAACAAACTAACATGACAGCTCCACAGCCTAGTATTCATCAACAATCAGAGCAAACTCCATGGGCATGTGATAATCCAAACAATGTCGACAACAATATCATTGAATCAAATGGACAGCAACGATTCAACGAAGCAAGAGAAAAGAAGAGGATGTTGAACATAGGAAGAGGAAAGGGCAACAATGGAATTGTTCCCAAGGGTAGAGGATCAAAAGGGCCTGGCTGGACTGGGGCTGGCTTTGATATGGATGGTGGAGCATAGGTATCAAATTTCAGTGTTTTTGTTCCTTGAAGATATTGATACTAGGATACTTTTCGATATGTACTCAATGTTACTTGATATTTGATTCTGTTTCTGTAACAGACAATGGATGTGGCTGATTCCAAATGTACATACAAGACAGTTGATGGGGAAAAGAAAACAAACAAACAAACAAAGCTTGTGTTATACCGATTGAATAATTGCTGGATTCTAGTATTATATTTGCAAGCATGGTATGTGAGCTATCAGATTGCATGTATTATATTTTTCATGGTAAATAGTAGGAGAAACCTAATGTTCTTAACCGCAAAAGCACCAGATCTTATCCTGGAAATAAATTGGATAGTTATGAGCAGTCTTTCTGGCAGTTTTACTTCTTAGAACCATGTTAAGAGAGAAGTGATATCCCTTCTTTATATAATGAGAAATTGGTGGTTCTCGTGAGGCACAAAAATTAACAGATGACATGCGACGTGTGTCATATTAAACAATAGCCATGTGGTCTTCTGTCCTATTAAAAGATGACATGTGGATACTTAATTTTATTTTACCTCATTAAAGATTCTCATCAAATTAAAATTGCTAATAATTAGAAAATTCTAGTTATCAAAGAATTGATAATCTTAATCAAATTATAACTATCTATAATTAAAACAAAAACCTAATAATTTTAGAAATTGACATGTTGACATTTTATCATATCTTCACCTAAGAATCCTAGTGAAATTAAAACAATCCATAATTAGAAAATTCTAACAATAAAAATCCTCATTTGTAATCCTCTTTACCTAAGAATCCTTATCAAATTAAAAGTATTCATAGTTTGAGTTTCATTAATCAAAATCCTCATTTATATAAACATGCTTTCAAGATTAGAAAATTATGAAAGTCCTCATTTATCATGGTGCTATTTTGAAGGGGTTATTTTGTACTTTCAAATGGGCCCGTAAAAGTAAGAAATTTACAAACTATGCCTTATTATTAGAAAATTATAAACAAATCCCTAAAAAAATCTAACCACTACAAATATCGTCATGAAATTTAAAAATTGCCGCTTTTAGAATCCATAAATTACAAACAATGCTTAGAAAATCCATAAAATTATAAAAGTCCTATGAAAAGTTCAAAACTTACAAATAGTCCCCCTGGAATTTTGTAAACTACCCACTGAAAAGCTTACAACTGACCCCTTGAAAGTTTTCAAAAATTATAAATATTCCCTAGAAAATTTTACAAATTGCCCTTTGAAAATATTTACAACTAGCACCATGAAAGTTGCAATAATAATAAATACACTGCTAAAAACTTTAAAATATTATAGATATCTCCCTAAAAATTTTACAAATGATTCTTGAAAGTTTTAAGAATTACAAATTCCCCTAAAAATTACAAAAAGCTCCATGATAGTTGCAAACAACTCCATAAGATTCAAAAAATATAAATATAAATAATGAATCTCATAAAAATTTAGAAAATTATAAACTATTCCTTCAAAATCCCTAAAGTACAAATAAGTTTAGAAAATCTAAAATTATAACAAGCCTTTGAAAAGATCAAAAATTAGTAATGACGCCTGAAGTTTTACAAACCCACCCTTAAAACTTCTATAACTAGTCCCTTAAAATTTTCAAAAATTACAAATATCATGTTAAAACTTTTACGAACATCAATTATGAAATTATACAGATAGCCCCATAAAAGTTGCTAAAGTACAAAAAATAGCCACTAAAATTTTTGTAAATTATAAATAAGCCCACAAAAAAATTTACAAAATAGCCCCTTCAAAACTTTACAACCATCCCCTTGAAAATTTTAAAAACTATAAATAAACCTCAAAATTTTACAGACAACACCTTAAATTTTCTAAAATAACAAATGACATCCTTATTTAATATATTATAGTATGATAGGATTGATGGTTATGAGTTGGCAACTCATTTAGTAAACTGAGATACTAAGAGATGCAAGTGATAAGGTCCACGTCTTTGATGTGATAAGAATGGTGGGCCTCCCTATACGGCTATCTCTCGGTAGCTCATTTAGCAAAATGAGCCACCACCTCATACACCTTATTTTTTATTATAGTACATCAGTGTGGGCGAATGCATGAGATGGGAGGGTACAATGGTCATGAAAAGTTTTATGTCATTAACGCTAGGGGATGACGAAACTTCCTAATAGCCATTTCGGGGATTAGAGAAAGTTCTAATCATATTCGTGTCACAATCTCGGGTGAATCAAAGATAAGCATTGATTGAAATGTCAGAACATTAATGAAATCCCAGTTCTTTTTTTAATCGTAAATTTTTATTTGTACTTGTAAAGGAGAGCTTAATGTTAAGTTGTCTAATTTTGAATTTCAAACTTAAGATTATAATTCGTCTAAGAAAAACCCTAACACTCAAACTATCTACTTTAACTATAAGAAAAAAAACTCTATTCTCTTCTTCTCATAACCTAGAAAAAAGAGATGTTCATTATCTCTTCCTTTATATGCATTTAATACAGAAGTTAATAGGTACAAAAAAATATAATTAATCATCACTCTTATTACACTAGGGTAGCTTAACGTATTCGAAGGGCATATAAACTAATATTTATAGACTAAAAAAAATCAATACAATCCGTGCAAGCACGCGCTTCATACCTTTGTAAATTGGCAATACACAAGCAATAGAAATTGGAAATGAAAGATTGAAAATTGATGCCTGCAAGCTATGTGACATTTGCAAAACGAAGTAAAGAGAAATCTGTGATTGTTTTCTCATGGCTGCTCACAAAAAGTCAACTCTCAGTGCCCTCTCTCAAAAGCACACTCAAGAACACACACCTGTCACAAAAAAAAGAGCCCCACCACCTCTTCACATTTTTGTTCTCACCTTTGTTTTGCATTCTCACCTCTACAATTCTTCAATCCTCATCTTATTACCGCTTAATATTGTCTATCTTAATTCGACAAGTGTCCTTCCCAATTCTCCAATGATATCTTCGTTGATGATTCTAAAACTAAGAAATTAATTGTCCAACGTGGTTGGTGACTGAACAGATGCTTAGAATAAAGAGACAAATTGCAAGAATAAAATATCTGTGACTAGATTTTGCCGGATCCTTTTGCTTGACTAGCAGTTAATTTGTAAGTAGTTAAAATAGATTCTGATTATTGTTATTTATATTTGCAAAAAATTCGACCATGGATACCTAGAAGAAAGAGAAGGTTGGGGTATTTTTGACAGGGGCATGTGATCCCTATATATTAATCTATCCTAGTTAATTTTAGTAGATATTATTCTATTTTTATTGTTTAAGTATTAATATAAGAAAGAGAACCAGGTTGGAAAATAAGTGCATCTTCTGGCCTAATGCTATCTGCAGTAGACAAGTTAGCTTATTACACCAATAATCATCATCTAATAAAATTATTCAAATATGAGGGAGCAAATTCTATAAACTGAGCTATCATTAACTTTATTCATTTTTATTATTTACTTTAGTTGCTACTAAATGATGTTGACACGCCAGCTACAGAAAGAATATTTCTTAATCCTAATAAATAAAAGATGCAATGAATAAGCTCCATCAATGAGCTTCAAGTGGCCAAAGTATATTACTTTAAATTAAGTGTGGTAGTCACTAGTCAGACTACATTAATTTAAGCCAATTATATATAAGATGATCAAAGCTATTCTCATGAAACAATTAATATGATTTCCTTTATTTAAGGATTTGCAAGCACAAACTCCTTTTATTAGTTGAGCATACTTAACTACTAAATAATGAGCCATCCTAGACGGAAAATTCCGTCTTGGATACCCAGAATTCCGTCTAGGATGCGTATCTTAGACGAAATTCCGTCTAGAATACGTAACTTGTCATAAAGCAATGTTACGCTTGGTCCATTCTATATATATATACACATATCAGTTCTTTGACTTTATAGTTTTGAATAGGCTTTGAAGGAAAATTTTCTGGAAATAGGAAGATAATGCAACAAACACAAGGCAACTAGCCTTTATTCCCTTTTCCCCCTTATTTTAAGTAAACTAGGTGGGGTGCATTGCTAGAAATAGGAAGATATAGCAACAAACACAAGGCAAGCAGTCTTTATTCCTCCTTTCCCCTTATTTGAAGTTTGTCAGCATAAATATTTTATAGATGGAATTTGTTTTGTGAACAGAAAAATATGAGAACGTTAATTAAAATAAAAAGGAATGTTATACCATAAAAATAACCTAAGTCGAAAGAATGGAATTTGTTTTGTGAACAGAAAAATATGAGAACGTTAATTAAAATAAAAAGGAATGTTATACCATAAAAATAACCTAAGTCGAAAGAATGGAATTTGTTTTGTGAACAGAAAAATATGAGAACGTTAATTAAAATAAAAAGGAATGTTATACCATAAAAATAACCTAAGTCGAAAGA